GTACGCCCGGGACAGGAACAAAAATTCCCCTCAGCCCCCGTCGGTTGCGCTGGCCTCTGTGCGAGCACCGATCCCTCCCTCTGGTGTAATGGGAGAGCGCGGCCTTAAACATCTGTTCTCCAGAGCTGGGCACCTCTCAGTATGATTTTCTCAGTTGCCCCTCTCTCCTTTGACAGGGAAACCCCCGAGCGCGCTCTGCCCAAAGACAGAGACGCAACTGTGAGATAATAGATAAACGTGTGACTACTCTAAAAGAATAATTTACACATTTTTATACATGTAAATATTTTGGAATAAGGTTTACTCTTTACAAGGCTCGGAGGTCCCTCACGGAAGAGGGTTACGTTAGGAGGCAATTTGTAGGATAGGATAATGGCTAACCCTATCCTTAAACAGGTTAAGATTGTAGTGATCGGGGAAACCTCCTCTGTCGGTTCCACAGAGTAGTGGTTCGGGAGAAGAAGCTGTAGGAGTGGATGAATATAGTCTTGGTCGAATAGCACCTTTATTAATGTTAAATGTGAAAAAGATTGTATGGCGACAGCTTTCTAAGCGAATCTGTCTAGAAAAGCAGCTTTTCATTTAGTCTCGAACACCGCCCCTCTGGGACCGGTAGGAAAAATGCAAATAACTCAGTCACGAAACAGGCCACAAATGCCGGCTTTCTTTTCTGTTCTTCTTTAAGCTGATATTCTAAATATTTGACCTAATTGTATTGACATTTGCTCCTTCAATGACAAGAGAATTCTTTTTTCTTTCTTTTCAAAATCAAATCAAAGGCAAAATCATAAAATAACTGATACCGCAATTTTATGAATGAATTAACGACATTGTGGTTTCGTTTACAGCAAAAAGAAGAATTGTTAAAAAAGTTGTTTTTTTTTTTATGTTTTGTGACCTGATTGATTGGTAGTGTGTATAGCTGAGTGATCGGATCAAAGAAATATGGTTTGAAATGTCCAAGTAATAATTTTTGGTGAAGGTTCAAAAAAGACACTTTTACTTCGACAAATGGAAAAAGAAGAATCTCCAGGTCATTTTTTAAATCATTTCACACCAAGCAAAGCAAACCCACTAAGACACAAGGATGTACTTTACTGAGTGTGAAAGAATAAGAAAAATAAAACATTATTAAGGAGTAAGAACAATAAACGAAAAGGAATCACGAAAAGAATAGATAATGATTGGCATTGCTTTTACATATCAAAGTTGGTTGGAGAGCAAAAAGCCGGAAGAATATGAGGTTACACCTAACCGATTCTGTTGTAAAACGAGATCTTGCCACCAATCTAATACTGCACTTAAATTCATAGAGTCTAGGTACTATAGAGCAAAGTTCATCAGAAAAATTACCATGAAATTATCTATAGAAAAGGCACAGAAAATCTATATTACGTCTATGGGAAAGTGTTTAAAGCCGAGATATCAGGTCAGGTCCAAAAAAATTGCAGATTCTTGGATTTTATCAAGAATATCTAAATATATATCAGGAACACCAGACCATATGTGGCAGCAATATTTTATTTTATTTTATTTTCTAACATTCATTTTACATACATAGAGTAATATTCTTGAAAAAAAAATGAACACATCTATTTTATGTTTAGGGTAAGACAACTTCAGCTTTTCTGTGCAATCAGTTTCGTTGCTGTTATCGTTTTCGCAAACAAAAATCTAGGTAAGCATTACAATTTGTGTGTTGGCCTGCTGAGGGCTAATGATGACAATACGCGAAAGGCATGTCCTGCCATAGCAAATTCAGACAGTTTGTGATGTAAGCTGAGAATTAATTTCTACTAACACTTGAGATTTATGGGACTGTCTCTTCTCCACAACACTGGGTTTGTGATTTTTCTCAAAAAAGAGAAGCCGTTTTTTAGTCACTATTTTTTTTTTTCCTGTCACTAGACAGTTGACGGCATTCGATACCACATGAGATAAAAATCGTTTAAGGACGTCTTGTGACACCCATCTCTCTGACTTCTTCTTCTTCTTCTTCTATGTGTTGTATTCCTTTTGCGCTTTGGCGATCATGGTTCTTCACAGTTTTCTGTCCTTTGCAGTTCTTAATTAATTTTGTCTTTTTGTTATCTTTCATAAACCTTGTCCCGCCATTCATTTATTTAAGGTCGCAATGTAAGTTATGCATTGTTTTCCTCTGTCCCTCTTGCCTTCAATCTGTGAGTGTTTAATTTTCCAAGCTCTCTTTCCTCATTATGTAGCCTGGAAATTTCAACTGTCTCTTCCTGATGTTAAGTATGTGAACTTTTTGCTTCCATTTTCTATAAAACTTAGTTGCTCACATGTTCAGTCCATGGTATTCTCAACATCCTTTTGTAGAGCCACATTTCTGTTGCTTCATGTCTCTTCTTCACCCGTTAGATTGCCCAGCATTCACTGCCATATAGTAGGACTTATATTGCAAAACTATCTATACGTTTCTTTGTTTCTAACGAAATTTTCCCGTTTCTTAATACCTTGCTTAGCTTTTGGAAGACTTCTTTCGCCATCCCAATGCGCCTTCTGATGTCAGTGTTGCACTTTTCGCCCTCTGATAAAACACTTCTCAGGTATTTAAATGTTTGTACTTGGTTGATTTTGGTATCTCCAATTTGTAATTTGCAGATTGAGCTGTGTTCATTTTGCTAACAATCATTGATTGAATAAGGGAATCAGATCGAAATTCCCTGAAAGTTACGCATATCGACATACACCTGAAGAAGACTAAAGGGAGCAACGACCGAAACGTCTTGATAATAACAACAAAAATGAGGATATTACTTCGAATGTAAATAATAAAAATAATAATTTCTCCTACTAGGAATTCAGACGAAATGTAATAACAAAGTTGGGTCCGACTATAATATTAATAATGGCTGGCCACTCGTATTCGAGGATACGAGTCTACTAGGGCGGCTAGCCAATCCCTATTGCAGACACTCGCTCAGGCACATTTGTGTTTGTTCAACACCCACAGAGCCCACCTGCGGTTTATACTGCAACTACGTTGAATAGACAGATACAGTTTCTGTGAGAGAGCGTGTTATCTAGCGTGATCAACAACCTGAACAAGGCCGGTACACTCAACCCCTCGGTCACGAAGACTTTCTATTGACGGCCCCAAAGGGTTCTGTCCACCCAGTTTCAGTCACAAGATTACAAGATATATGCATATATATAAACCCAGTTTCAAGTCACAAGATATATGCATATATATAAACACACACACACATATATATATATATATATATATATCTATATACATATATATATATATATATATATATATATATATATATATACATATATATATATACATACATATATATGTATATACATATATATATATATACATATATATATATATATACATATATATATATATACATACATATATATATATATATATATATATACATATATATATATATATATATATATATATATATATATATATATATATATATATATATATATATATATATATATATATACATATATATATATATATATATATATATATATATATATATATATATATACATATATATATATATATATATATATATATATATATATATATATATATATATATATATACATATATATATATATATATACATATATATATATACATATATATATATATATACATATATATATATATATATATATATATACATATATATATATATATATATATATATATATATATATATATATATATATATATATATATATATATATATATATATATATATATATATATATATATATATATATATATATATATATATATATATATATATATATATATATATATATATATATATATATATATATATATATATTGTTTGAAACCCATTTAAGACAGCTCCTGTGGAGGGTTCTTCATTGGGCCTTCATGGGATAGAGCGTGTTATCTGGCGTGATCAATAATCTGAACAAGGTCAACACGCTGAAATCCTCGGTCACGATGACTTGTGATTTCGTGCTAGCACAGCTGTCGACGGTCCCCAAGTGTTCTGTTTACCCAATTTCATTTACGGTCAACCAGTGCTATGGTTTTCAGGCACTTTCCAAAGGTGTCGCACACTGGGATCGCAACCTCCAGACCGATAACATCAGGAAGTTATCCTGACAAATCAACCGTGGTGAGATTCGTACCCGGGTCTCATGGTCAAAAAGCGAGCTATATATAATGTACATAACAATATTTAATTGCAGAATTAATACAAGTAAGACCGGAGAATGTATCGGTCGAAATATAATAACGGAAATAACAAAACTACGAACTAGTCTGAACTGTTCGTAAAATAAGTTATGTCAATAGATTACATAAGTTAATAGGTAGCACGCTGATGACATTCTTTAAATAAGAAAGATGATTTGACAATGGGATCAGGCTATATTTTTCAAATGTTTGAGAAGGAGGCTAATGGCTGCATGTTCTGTAGGTTGCCCGTAGAGGTTGTAAATCTATATATTTCGTTTTGTGCGGATATATATTTGCGGGAAAATATGATGATGCCATTATATATTATACTGGCATATCGGTGAACAATAACTATGTACATGGAAATATACGCTCATACATAGAAGCAACAAGAAAGAAAGAAAGAAAGAAAGAAAGAAAGAAAGAAAGAAAGAAAGAAAAGAAAGATGGAAACGAAAAATAAATGCCTATTAAAAACTGGGCTACCTATCTATTTATCGATCTATCTCTTGAGCTAGTAGCTAGCTAGCTAGCTAGCTAGGTAGGTAGGTAGGTAGGTAGGTAGGTAGAAAGAAAGAAAGAAATGTAAGCGAAAAATAAATGCACATTAAAAAACAGGGCTACCTATCTATTTATCAATCTATCTCTTGAACTAGCTAGGTAGAAAGAAAGAAAGAAAGAAAGAAAGAAAGAAAGAAAGAAAGAAAAGAAAGAAAAGTGAAGACGAAATATATATTAACACACTGGGCTACCGATTTATCTTTCGATCTATCTTTCATGCTAGCTAGCTCGCTAGCTCGCTAGAAAGAAAGAAAGAAAGAAAGAAAGAAAGAAAGAAAGAAAGAAAGAAAGAAAACAAATCGGTAGCAGAGAATAAATAGATACAAACAAACTGGGATAGATAGATAGATAGATAGATAGATAGATAGATAGATAGATAGATAGATAGATAGATAGATGTAAAGGGAGAGATGTAGGCAAGTAGGAAAATGTATATGTATTTATACACGTGTGAGGTTGGGACTGTTATCTTTCTGAAATGCGTTCATACGAATACAAATGATAAAAAAAGTGCAGAGTTTCTGTAAACAATTCAACGTCGTTGTTACAGGATTTCATTCCATGTTCTTTTTTCACGCTCCAATGTTCTTGTGTTTTTGTTGAGTGGCGCATGAGTATTACAAGGGATTTTATGGCATTTTCATAGTCGAGCCACGAAAACAAATAGGAAATTCATCTCTCTCGTCGAAGAGGGCGGGTTGAATGTTCTTAAAAACAAGTTAGGCACCAAATACTTAACTACTTATTCTATAGTCTCAGCACATTTTTGTGACTGCCAGTGTCCGAGTATTTTGTTAATTTGGCGAATAGGTTGCAGAAAGGAAGGAAAAGAAAGAAAACGGGTCACTGACATGAAGCAGAGAAAATAGCGGGAAAGAAAAGGCGGTAAAACTGAGCAGAAAAAAGAAAGGCCATGTTTTATGAAAGGTGAAAGAAAGTCCAAAAGACTGAATGCCTTGATCAAAGAAAACAGATAGTGAAAATTATTTAAAGAAATAAAGAAAGACTAAAAGAAGAAAAAAAAAATGAAAGGAAATTGGAAGAAAGAAAAAGAACATGAAAATGATTTGAATAAAGAGGGAAATAAAGAAAATGTTTAATATAAGAAAAAAAGAGCACTTTGATGTCAGAAAAAGAACACAAAAATTGTTTGAAAAAAGAAAGAAAGAAAGAAAAAACGGAAAAAAGAAAGAAATATTTGACGAAAAAAATAAAGACAAAATGAATGAAAGAAGGACAGAAACGTTTTTGAAAGAAAGAAAGAAAGAAAGAAAGAAAGAAAGAAAGAAAGGAGCAAAGTAAGAAAGTAAGAAACAGAACAAACAAGAAATAAAGAAAGAAAGAAAGAATAAAAGAAAGAAAGAAACAGAACAAACAAGAAAGAAAGAAAGAAAGAAAGAAAGAAAGAATAAAAGAAAGAAAGAAACAGAACAAACAAGAAAGAAAGAAAGAAAGAAAGAAAGAAAGAAAGAAAGAAAGAAAGGGGAAAAGAATGAAAGTTTTCATTTAAAAAAACAATAGATATATTAAATAGAAAAAAAACAATGAAAGAAAATATTTTATGCAAAAAAGAGTGAAAGGTTTCAGGAAAGAAAGAAAGAAAGAAAGAAAGAAAGAAAGAAAGAAAGGGGTCATTTACTAGGAAAAGTAATAGTAAAGTGATTTTTTTTTTTTTGTAAACAAAAATGAATCCCAGATGTGACTCAGTTCGTGCCAAGGTCAATCAACGAACTTGGAAAATATTTTATCTTTAGATTTTTAAAAATATTTGCATAAATTTGCAAAAAGATGCACATGAATAAATTAGTTCACCATATTTCTAAATTTGGAGCAATTTGAAGAAAAAGAATTTAGTTGTTATTTAAAAAGCTTAATTTAGTCTGGCACAAGGTCACAATATGTGACTCTCTGTAAACCCTGAAACCACCCCATTACAATCGTAATGATCCGTGACGACTTCTATAAATATAAAACTGAAAACTTTTCTCCAAGTCGAAACTTTTCTGTTCGGTATAAATTTTCAGCTCATGTCGTGACTTTGTAAGCGTAGATCAGACGTGGCACAAGGACAAAAGTATGGAACACCCAGTGCGGATCAAACTCACTTATTCAGACGTAATTGATCTACCGGGAAAAGCTTGCTAACCATTACATCACGTCGAATTGTCCTAAATGATTTTCTAAGCGTAGCTTAGACGTGACACAAGGCCGAACGTGTGGAGCATCCAGTGAGAATCAAGCTCACTATTCAGTCGTAACTGATCTAGCCAATCATTACACTACGTCTAAGTGTCCTAAATGATTTTCTGAGCGTAGCTTAGATGTGACACAAGGCCGAACGTGTGGAGCATCCAGTGAGAATCAAGCTCACTATTCAGTCGTAACTGATCTAGCCAATCATTACACTACGTCTAAGTGTCCTAAATGATTTTCTGAGCGTAGCTTAGATGTGACACAAGACCGAACGTGTGGAGCATCCAGTGAGAATCAAACTCACTATTCAGTTATGATTGATCCAGCGAGACAAGGCAAGCTTGCGAATCATTACACCACGTCGAATTTCTCAGCTTATGTATATATGTTTGTGCGAACGCGTGTGGGCGTATGGTTCGCGAGTGTGTGTGTGTGTGTGTGTGTGGGCACATGTGCGTGCGTGTGTGTGTGTGTGTGTGTGTGTGCGCGCGGGTGTTTAAAAACTGCGGGGGTCGTAGTTGATCGAAGACCGGGATCACTGACAACTGAAAAAGGTTGTGACCACCCAGCAAAATCATATCCCAATTAAACGCTTTTGCGGGTCCGCCCGTCAGTGAACACACTACAGAGCTTGTGCTGCATTATATGGATTTCGTAGTCTTTGACCAAAAACGTTACTATTATTCATGTGGGCGAGATAACATTGCCATTAGACACTGGAATATTGAATGCCATATTACCTGGTCACACGAATGATGTTTCCAGAATTGTTTGGGTTCGCGGTCGAGTTCGTGTTTGAAGGAGATTTCATGGGTAATGATCCAAGTGGGATATATCCAGATCTTGTTGCAGCCCATTTGTAACCATTTATATTCGCCATGATTCCGGTGATGATGGTTTTATCCGACAAGATGAAGCAAATCTTCCCCCATCATACGCGGGTGACACAAAAGTGATTTCAGTTGGCGTCCATCGCCACCATCGGCGCCGTCACTCACCATATTCAATCCCTATTGAACATGCATGGATCATGCTGCAAGTGTCATTAATTTCACGGCAGCCATACCCAACAAACAGAAGGCAATTATGGACAGATTCATCAGGTGCCTTAACAAATATGTTCACAACTCATGCACTTCAGGCAATGTTGTGCACCTCCCGTTATTCAAACAAAAAAGGAGCTACACATTATTATGTAGGTGTTATATTTTTTGGCACTTCAGTTTTATATATATATATATATATATATATATATATATATATATATATATATATATATATATATATATATATATATATATACACATAAATATATATATATATATATATACACATATACATACATACATATATATATATACACATATACATACATACATATATATATATATACACATATACATACATACATATATATATACATACATACATATATATACACATATACATACATACATATATATACACATATACATATATATATATTTACAAAGGAAATAACGCAATAGCTGGGGCTTTTAAAATGTCATCGAAAAAACTGAGGTCGCACTAAATTAGGCTTTCGTCAAATAATATAAGAAAAAGAGGAACGAAAAAAAAGAAAACAACACAAAATTAACCTCCAATCTATCATGCTATGTCCGGATTTGCATTAACTGGACCCATAAAATCTATTTTATATATATATATATATATATATATATATATATATATATATATATATTGGGAGGTGTTGAAAAATTTCGCCATTTAACTAATAAGTTATTCCCCAAAAATTCTGTCTGTTCAATTATTTAGATTTTGGAAAGTGGGTCGGGCCGAGACCTTTTTAGTTTACCCTAATATTTTTTTAATCGATTTCACCTTAACCAAGTCAGTAAAGCCACTGAGAGACAAGGGGTTACTGGATGTGGAAGAGTTAATTAGAAATAGAAACATTGCTAAAGAGTAATGACAAAGAAATCAGGAGTACAGAAAAAAAGCGATTGACATTGAATTTTCAATTTTTGCAGATTAAAGTTGACTGGAAGAAAGCGATAAGTGCGAGAAAAGAAGCTGTTAACATAACATTTACGGTTGCATCTAGCTAACCTAACTGTGAATTGATGAGACCTCGTCACCAGTCTAGGTTAAATTCAATGAGTCTAGGCAACATAGTAAAGAGCTCACCCGAATAATTACCATGAAAGTATTACTAAAAAGGCACAGAGTCTGAAGCCGAGACGTCAGAACAGGGCCAATAATATTGCTGATTCTTCTTTGGGGTTTATCAAGGAGCTCTAAAATATATATATAATTATCGACAGAATGTAGTAATTCATTTATATATGAATCCATACTCGGAGGTTAATTGATCTTTTTACTTCGGCGGATTACTTTTTAATCATTTTATATTTCCGCTTGTTAGTACGTTTTGCCCTGTCAATACATCACAAATAAAAGAACTATTCCGTTTTGATGGTGCGGAAAAACGGAAAAGATATATCAGAAACGCCATTTGGTTTCAGTGAGAAAATTAAAGAAAGAAAGAAAATTCCTAGGTGGCGTGTTTTTTAAAGTCTGCTACAGTGAAATGCAAAAACAGAATCAATTACTAATCTTTTCATTTGTACCCTCTTACTTCTTTAAGCAATAACTAGCATTCATATTGCAATACTTTGTTAAAGTTGTCAAATATTTAACCATGCAACAGAGGAATTTCAACTGGTAATTTATAGTCGTAGAACTCGCAAAGAGCATATTCAATCATTATTTTAAGAATTATGATTCCTCAGAAAATTCAAATAGCAAAAATTTTGTTAATAAATGTGATGTGTTTTATTATTCTGAGCATAACTTTACTTTGAAAACTCAGAAAATAATATACTTTCTATACATTTTCATCTTAATAAATTACCTTGATGTTTCTACATCATGTATTTGTAGGGACAAAACCCAGACTAAACAGCAGAAGTTGCCTCGGCGAAGAAAAAGATGAAATGGTAAACTTCATAATCAAGGAATGTGATAAAAAGAATACAAAATAAGGCATGATAGGGTATCAACAGTCTTGCACCGGGAACTGTGCAAACGAATTAGATTGAACCATGTAAATAAATAGTATCAGCAAGAACCATTGACTGCTCTGGAAAGCAATAATCACAAAGTAATTTTGAGATTTCGAAACCCAGACCGACGATTCAATCTAAGTAAAACAGAACCTGATAATCATGAATAAAGAAATAAAGACCTGCCAGATCGTGGATGTAGCTGTGTTCCATCGGGTCACATAGTGGACATTAAAGAGAATAAGAAATTTTAGAAATATCAGGACATTTCCTGGGATGAGAGAAAAATATCGATTATGAATGTTAGAACCACGTGTATAATATTTGGTGTCCTTAGAACTGTAATAATAATAATAATAATAAAATTAATAATCATAATAATAATAATAATAATAACATACATTACCACTGCTCGGATATTATTGTGCTGGATAAAGGCATAAAGAACTGTAATATTATTAATGTTGCCATACCAAATGATACAAATATAGCAAACAAGGTGGGTTAGAATATTATAAACTACACTGATTTGAGAGTCGAGATAGCAAGATTGTTTCGAATGCGAAAAAGAAATGCCAGTGTGATTCTAGTGGTGATTAGTGCTTTGGGATGAATCCCAGTCAAACTGTGACTTCCTTGACCGGCTGGGGACACCATACATACTGGAATTATTCAAATATCGGCTTATTTTTTGTGGGGGGAGAACGTGCTGATGAAAGTGTTTTCTGTCTGAGGTCCTTGTTGTAACTTTACTGATAACTTCTTTTACTCAAGTGTATTCAAAGACATACACTGTAAGAAATAATAATAATAATAATAATAATAATAATAATAATATAGATCGCCGAGATCTAATTCCGGTCTAGTTCGTTACGTTAACTTTTGTAAAATAAAAAACACCATTGGGAAAGAACTTAATCCATCTCTTCTCCACAAGGTAAGGGTTAAATAGTAGGTTAGAAGTGTCTTGCAAAACGATTGACAGAAAGTAAATATCTAAAAAGATTGAAACTATCAAGCCAAATGCATTACTAAAATCAGTTAGAATACTGAGGAAAGTGCTGGTGGGGTGTTGCTCACATTTTATCACCAGCCTAAACCACCAATTACTGCTGCTGTGAAATCTCAATAATAATAATAATAATAATAATAATTGCTTCAGTGCTTAACTGATTGAATGCCTTATCATGTATATTTTTATCTTCGCAAAGTAAAATGGGCGACAGTAAATATGCCGTTGACTACAACAGATTTTCTTATCGGTTGCTTGACCTTAACTACCGAGGAATATCCTGCCGAGGCTGTTTACGGTCGGGAGTAATAGAAGAGCATCATGGTTAGGCGTCAAGTGATTTGTTGTTGGCTTGAAGGATGAGGCAGCCAAGGTGACGTGGGAGTTACAACTAGATACTTAGGAAATCTCTTAATCGGACTGCGTTACTATTTGCTCAGCTTACTCTAGAACAAGAACACAGGAAAGGAAGTAAAGACTGTGTTCCGCCAATTCTTTTATAGGCTTAAAAGTAATCATTCGAAATTACTTACGCTCGAAATTCTGAAACTACATCACCCATCAATTCAACTTGATTCATTAAGCTGAGACTAGTATTGTACAAGGGTAAATATAGCGAGCAAATTAAATGATTGTAGAGACAATCTTGCAAGAGGAGAAATCCTGCGAAAATCGCTTGGAAAATCAGTATACAAAATTCAAGATTTTACCTGAATTCTAATCCTGGTGGAAAATATGTAACAATTGATGCCACCAAGTTTACTTGATATTACCTTAAATTGAATTAGTATAACATTTTCAGTATTGATGTTCCAATTCCGGCTTACTCTGATATATTCACTTTTGTACCAATGGTTAAAAAGAATAAATATGTCTAATCCTCCGCTCACACTCACCAGCTACGGATTAAATAGTAGACTGGGTCCTTTAGCTTTGAGTGGCATATTACCCAAGAGAAAGAAACTTCCGAATTTTAAACCGTTGAGAAGTCAACGGGGAACCACTCAACTATTTTCCTAAGAATGCACGGACATTAACAGATGATAAAGAAAATGGATCTATGGAGAGATATGATCGCCTACGTCCTTAAAGTTATTACTTCTCTCCATAGTGATTGTTCTATTTGCATATATACACTAAATGCAGCATAAGAAGGGACAGAGAAGGATAGTCAGAGATTAGTGAGAAAATCCGTTTAATCCTAATCTCTTGGTGGATCAAGCCTCACTGGGTTCCCCTTATTTGCGTTCTTGGACTAGAATAATGATGATAATATAATATGGATGTCTTGCATGATGCCAAACTCGTTCAGAAATATCAAAACTGTTAGCTGTATCCAACAGCTTTTCCAGACCTATGTTTTAAGGTGGATCGAGAGAATGAACCATGTAGGTCTTAGCGGGGACCATCATTCTTCAAATATTGTGGACTGGCGCTACGCTACATGATCACAAAGAACTGTACCACATAACCGAAAATCACGTCACTTGTGAACTTTCAACAGCAGAAACAGCTGAATTGGATAGCATATGTAACTCGAAGAGAAAATAATGACATAATCAAGTATATGACGTTCCACACCACTTCAAACAAAAGGTTAGGAAGGAAACATCCATCAGTACTGAAAAGAGCAATATGTTCATATTTCCCTGAAAAATCATTTTAATAGAAAGATTTTAAAATTTCAACTGACGATAGCACCGGCTGCTCGGTCAACGAATGCTGAATGTTTCCTTATAAGAAAAAGGCTAATATCCTTAACCCCAGTTTTATCATTTATGACTGCTTATAGCCTGAAGGGACATGCCGTTCAAATGTTTACATTATCTGTAGTTAATGAGAAAAATAATGGTTTCAAACTAAAGTATCTCAGTATGAGATGAAAAATATTAGCTGGTTAATAAAATATTAGCTGGTTAATCAAAGAATTACAGTTTACTCTATTTATCTATTTATTTATTTTGCTTGTTTTTTTTTTTTCTGTTTCCAGTATGGCCATTTTCGGGATGACACCATTTCTGCAGGAGAATCGAGTCAACAGGAAATGTCTCTTAAATGAACACCAAAATGTCACAAAACCCTTGTGTCATCATCTGCGTAAACTGATATGTCATCTCATTTAACTTTACTCTCGCTTGTTAAGACATATTAACAAGCTGTAATCAAAGTCGTTAATAATCCTTGAACCAAAGGTTGATACCATTCTGAGGTCTGAAGATTGAACTAACTTGGTCAGGCACTGTAGATATATCCATCGAGTTTAAAGCCGTCTGATATAAAAGTGGGGCACACAGTGTGGATCAAACTCACTAGAAATAATTTACGAGACTATCTTGCAAACCATTACCTTATAACAAATATGATATAAGTCCGGAAAGCATAATCTTGAATAATTCGAGAAACGGCTGCGCGGTCTTGATATAAATTGACACTCAATAAAACGGCAACTTACTGAGAATGATTGAGTGTTCTTCTTCTTCGCGCCATGCCCCTTCAGGACATAGGCGATTACAGATAGCTGAAAATGAAGGCCTCAAATGTAACTAGCGCCCATGGAAAGGTCCCAGAGTCATTTGAGAACTCATAAGGATCGGGGAACTGCTTAAAATGATCCAGATGAAAGCATTGTTGATGCCAGCAGGGGGATTATTATTATTATTATCATTATTATCATCATCATCATCATTATTATTATTATTATTATTATCATTATCATTATCATCATCATTATTATCATTATCATCATCATCATTATTATTATTATCATTATTATTATCATCATCATTATTATCATTATCATCATCATCATTATTATTATTATCATTATCATCATCATCATCATTATTATTATTATTATCATTATTATTATTATTATCTTCTTTTTCTTCTTCTTCGCGCCATGTCCCTTCAGTAGTAAGCGCCTACGTTTTTCACTTTCCTGTCGCTTGTAACTTCTGTCTTTTTGTCATCTATCCCATACCCTGCTCATCCATCAATTCGTTCCAACTCGCCATGTAGGTTATGCGTTGTTTTCCTATTCTTCTTCCTTCAATCTGTTCTGTGAGTATCGAATTTTCCAAGCTCTCTTTTCTCATCATGTGCCCAAGAAATTTCACCTGCCTCTTTCTTATGTTAAGTCTGAGCATCCTTTTTGTTTCCATTTTCTCTAAAAAGAAATTCGTTGTTGCTTACATCTTCGGTACATGGTATCCTTAGCATCCATCTGTAGAACCATATTTCTGTTGCCTCAAGTTTTTTCTTCATCTGTGAGGAGATTGTTGTTGTTGTTCTTTTTCTATGCACCGTGTCCTTTCATGACTTGGACGATCATAGCTATCCACAATTTTCTGTTTTCTATCGCTCTTAGTAAATACTGTCTTTTCGCTATCTATTCTAATCCCTGTTCTGCCAAGCAGTTACACAAGCTCATTAAGTAAGTTACTCTCTCTCTCTCTCTCTCTCTCTCTCTCTCTCTCTCTCTCTCTCTCTCTGGCCTTCAATATGCCCCGTGAATGCCAAATTAGCGATGTCTTTCTTCCTCATGAATTTCAGCTGTTCCCTTCAAGTGCTAAGTATCCTTTTTGTTTCCATTTTCTCTAAAACTTCATCATCGCTTACATGTTCAGTCCATGGTACACTCGGCATCCTTCTCTAGAACAATATTTCTGTTGCCCCAAATCACTTCGTCTGTGAGAAGATTGTCCAGGATTCACTGCCATATCGGAGGGCCGATAATAAAATCGCCTAAACGAGTTCTAATTCCGGTCGAGTTCTATACGTTAACTTTTGTACAAATACCATTTTTTGAGAAAGGTCTTAATCCGCCTCTCCTTCTGTAGTAAATTGTTTTTGACTATATGAAAAAATTATAAATAATTATTGATCTACTTTCGGTATTGAACCCACTTTTGAATTAATGGTGTGAACGTTAGAATTTATATATTATTTTCGTATAACACACACACACACACACACACACACACACACACACACACACATATATATATATATATATATATATATATATATATATATATATATATATATATATATATAGGGGAAGTGCGCTTTTCTTAAAAGGGAAAGTAAAGTCTTGCTCAACTGTGATGCTCCTTGTAGCCAATTGGTTTAGGCACCCCGGACCAAATAGTCGTTTGTTCTACAAAGGTGGGATGCAGTTTCTATCCCTGTCTGAAAGCACATTTTCTTTATGAAGACTTCTCGAATGTGCAGGCCGCTAGAAGTGTGCCGTTATTTCAAAAACAAGTATCAAATAAATATGTAGGCTTAAAAAATATAACCACCAATTCTTTATAAATACATTTTATTTTTTTATATATATATATATATATATATATATATATATATATATATATATATATATATATATATATATATATATATATATATATATATATATATATATACGGAGAACTGGTGAATACAGTGCGCCACGAGGTTACCATAGAGTTCTCCACGGGTTTTGAATTCAGAGTAATCCTTCTCTTAGGCTGTTTGCCAGCCAAAGATAGAGAGCCTGGCCCTGCTCTACTATTTAACCCATATATGGAGAGAAAAGTGATGTATCAAAAGCTTTAAGTCGCGTATATGTGCATAAGTTACAGTAATTAACTCGACTGGAATGCACACACACACACACACACACACGGACGCACACACACACACACACACACATATATATATATATTGAGCATCCCTTTTTGAAGATACGGTGTTTTGGGGTTTGTTTTTTTATGTAAACTTTGAAAACTTGCTGCATGTTTAAAAGTTGAATATTATATTGCATAGAAGCCAACACCTCTTTTCAGAGAAAGAAGTTTGATATATAAATTTTACCAAAATTTAACTTAAGTTCTGGGTGCGTCTTTCTTTATTTATAAAATACGCTCTCTCTCTCTCTGTGTGTGTGTGTGTGTGTGTGTGTGTGTGTGTGTGTGTGTGTGTGTGTGTGTGTGTGTGTGTGTTTACTAAACTAGCTAGGCTGTAAAAGCTCTCGGCCGGACCAAGAAAAGATTGCCAATCAAATTCTGATATTTGGACATTTAGTCAGATTTGGGGAGTTCGGGCCGAAACCTTTTCAACTCCCCCTCCTATATATATATAGAATGTGGAGGAATTAGAAGACAGCAGCATTAGTAATGAGTAGAAAGAGAAAAGAGTATTCAGGAGGACAGTAAATAGCGATTGGCATTGCATTTAAATTTTTGCAGATTAAAATAGGCTGGAAAGCATGGAGCCGAGAGCGGGGAGTTCCCCAAGCAAGAAGTGCGAGAAAAGAAACTGTTAGCATAGTAGTTACGCTTTGCTCAACTATAGATTGATGAGTTCTTTCCGCTAGTCTATTATTCCGCCTAAATTAATACAGTCTAGGTACCATAGCGGCGAGCTCATCCAGACAATTCCCATGAAAGTATTTATAAAAAAAAGGCATAGAGAGGCAACCTTACGGCGGTGGGCAAGTGAATGAAGCCGAGGCCCCAGGTCAGGACTTATCAAGGAGATTCGGGTAAATAGAAGGTACACAGTACCATATGTGGCAGTAATATTCTGAGCATGGACGAATGGTAGTCTTATAGATATGCAAGATAGATTCCGGAGAGAAATATTGTCTCGCCCGACACAGTGAACCAACTTTCTTGGCAGCTGATCTAGCAATAAATTCACTGTAGTCTTTCCACCTCATGTCAGCTGAGAGCGTTTGCCCGAGAAGGCACAATGAGTCACTTCTGGGAGATAGCATCAGCCATGCTGATGGAAGGCAAAGGGGGGCCTCTCAGATGATTACTGGAAAGAAGTTAAGTTTTGGAGGTGTTAAAATTGACAAGCTATCTTTCACTCCAGTTGACGACGGTCTTGAGGTCGTTTTGTACATCAGCTGCAATTTTGACCTTGTCTGATTGATAACCCTTACTATCGAGGCAGGAGTATATGGCAGTGGCATCAGCGTAGATGCCAAGTTGAGAGCTGATGCCATGGGGAAAGTCGTTAGTGAAGATTAAAAACAACGTAGGAAACAAGGATAGAACCTTGGGGGACATCTGCGTTGTACGAAAGGGTGTAGATGAGTGGCTGTTCAGGGCAACTTTCATTTCACAATAGGAACGACTGGATCGGCTAAAATACGTGCCCGGAGATACCGTAACTTTTCAGATTGACCTCAATGCCAAACCCTGTAAAAGGCTTTTGAGATGTCCAATGATAGAACACGGGATTCACTGTTTTATATCTAGAGCATGATAGACTCTTTCTGCAATTATCGTTAGTACATCAGCAGTGGATCTGGATAAAAGAAAGCCGTATTGCTTGTCTGAGAAAAGGCCCTGGGATGATGAAGCAATTCAACATTGATTAGGGTCTCTAGGAGTTTCCCAAAAAGTTGCAGAATGTTAATAGGCCGATGGTTGAATGTGTCGGACAATTCGCCAGAGTTCCTAAAAACTGGAACAACATACAGGAATGTATTATACCGTTTCGAGAGAGCAGGAGCTTGTTCCGAAGTACACTTCTTAATGACTATTACAGGGTTGCCATTAGGTCCACATGCTTAGTGGGGATCAAAAACAGAGTTTATAACAGTAATCTTGGAAGGGGTTATATACATATCATTCAACAGAGAACCAGTTCTAAGTGGAATGTTACTCAGATTTAGTCCAGATGAGTCAAGAGTAGAGTTTGAGAATTTACGGACAAAGCATTCAGCTTTATCAGCAGAGGATGATAACACGTCAAATCGATTGAAGAGGGGGGAATAGAGATCTTGCACTTATTTAGTACCCTATTACAGAGATGCCAGTAGTCACGAGAGCCAGTTTTTAGAGGCTAAGCGGTTCCCCATTCTCTCAGCAAACATGGACATCGGTCATTCGAGGACTCGCTTACATTTATTACGAGCAGTAGCAAATAGGTACCTATTATGACGAGAGCTGTCACGCTGGTAAAGCCGGAAATAGTGGTTCCTGTGTGCCATGCTGGCTGAATACGCTGATGTGAACCATGGAAAGGATAGTGGTTTTACCTAGTATTTCCGAGAAGGGATGAAAGTGTTCATGCCAGCTTTGACTCAAAGGCGCAATTTTCAATTGAGAGTTTGAATATGTCAGTCCAAGTCACGAAGAAAATCCTGGAATGAGTTCCAGTCAGCGTGCTAACGGAAAGAGGTCTTGTGGATAAGTGGTTCATGTTTAATGGATGCTGGAAAGGATATATCAATAGCTACCGCAGAGTAGCCAAAGTT